GAATTTGGTAAAGAACATAACAAAAATTAGATGATTTTTGAGAGGAAAAAATGTAAAAAAAGTTAAAATTATATATAAGAACTTGATTTTTTATATATTAAGAAAGGAAGGAGAGTAATTTACTGATAAAAAATAATCAGATAATAAATGATACTACCCTAATAAAGAATTAGATTTGTTGCTAAACTTTTATAAAAATTACAATTTTTCTTATTTTTATATGCACTAATTGATTCTGATAATATCTATATAAAATAGCTTTATTTTAAAAAACTTATATATTAAGATTATCAAAATCTCTTAGTATTTTGAACTATTCAACCAAAAGTTCAACTGGAGCTGATTCGAGTAGATTTACAGATATTTCCAGCCAATCGTTGATATTTGTTTATATTAGGTAAAATAGGATTGACACATCTTATTTCACCTAATATAAACAAATATCAGCAATTGACTGGGAATACTCGTAAGTCTACCTGGATCAGCCCCAGTTGAACTTTTAGTTAAATAGTTCAAAAAACTAAAATCTCTTAATAAACAAATTATTTATTTTATTATTTAAATATTATTTGAGCTCATAACCAAATCTCATCAAACTATTAGGAATTATATATTATATTTTTTTTTTAGCATAGAATATAAACATGGTTTCTCTAGACAAAATTTAAATAAAACTAAACTACAAACTAGTCTAAATAATGATACTTTAAATATGTACTGATAGTTTGGTTAGAAGAAGATGATAAGACAGAATTTAATTTTAATGATGTATTAGATATTTGGTATAAAATTAAAAAAAGAAAAATAGAATATAATTTTAATATATAGATTCAAAATTACAGAATTTTTTATAATTATATAATCTTCAATAAACACAATTTTGTTAAATAAAAATTTTTAAATATCAAATAAATGATAATGCTTTAAGATAATTTATTACTATTACTAGAAAGTCAACTAGAAGATTCTTTAAAAATGTAAATTGATGATGCAACTACAAATGCTGCTCTAAAGCATAACTTGTCTTTAAGATAGTGCTTGATTTATATTCAAGGATGTTATATTGATTTTTTTATGCTTTAAGATTAGTTATGGCTTGTTATCACTTGGTTATTTAAATGCTGCAACTGCACTATTAATCAGAGCTACCCTAGTAAATTATTAATTCACATGTGTGTTACAATTTTTTATATTATATATGTAATATATTATGCACCTTTATTGTTTACTATTCTAGCCAATTAAATCCTAATATTAGATTTAGGCCGCAGATAATTATGTTATTATAACATTGTGTCTGAGTCTCTAATTTTAGTATCCACTGGATATGAAGTTCATATGTAATTTCTTTGTTTTGTAAAGAAACTCAATTGAACTTCAATAAAGTTAGAGGCATGGCCTCACCTTTAAGATTACAAAAAAAAATTAAATCCTAATATATTATAGATCAAGAATAGCACTTTTGAATTTCCGGCAAATTAATATAGTCGCTTAAGCCCTGCTTTCAAGCAAAAACTTCGGTCCTTCCCCTGAGCGATATCCATTGTCTAATCATTGTTAGTAGTGCATTCCATGGATTACTTATGAGTGTTTCATGGTTTGTCTCATGAATCAAAGGACAATTATAATATGCAGGGAAACAATTGAAGACAATTACGTAACTATTTATACACCTGATCCACTACAATATCTGCTCAGGAGAAGACCAGAATTTTTGCTTGAAAGCGCCCATGATGTAGTGGGCTGCGGGTTTGCTTCTAACAGTAGTTGCAAATAAACGTGTAACATATTGTTACAATTAGATTCATCCTAAATTACAGAAGCGGGGAAGCTTTTGATGGGCACTATAAATTTATATCTATTAAAATTATGGCGAAGATGACACATGATCGTGTGCTAGTTTAATAAAATTTTTCAATAGTTAAAATACACAAACGAAATTTTATAAATAAATTATATAGCTTGTGTTATGACATATATTTAGAAAATTATCACCAATAGTTATCATTAAGATTCGGCAATAGATTTGGCAAAAGATTCTTTGACTTGCTGAGCAAATCCTGCATCAACCAAAAAGTCTAGTCCAACTAAAGCAATCCCACTCAAAGCTTTTATAGTTTCTTCATGAGCCTTGTCTGTCTTGGCTGCATCGGCAAATGCTCTTTGATGATTAATAGCAGGAGGATCCGGAAAAATGTCGTACATTGGATGAATCCCAGGTACCAAGTGAGTTACATTTCCCTCATCAGTGGATGCGCCAAAGTAGTTATTTTGTTCTGCTCTCGACGGAAATTTGATACCAAATTGTTTTGTAATATAGTATTCGTAACGTTCGGCAAGACGTTCATTTATATTCACATCTATAAACGATAATTAGGTTATTTATTATGATTCAATCGATAAATACTTATTATACTTGTGAAACTTACTTTGAGCTGCATCTTTCCATTTAATGTCGAGTGTAGTTCCAGTCGCTAATGCTGCTGCTTCAAAGCACTTTTGTACACGTTGCCGAAGATCTTCCAAATCTTTCATTGTCTTTCCACGAACAAGGAAAGTACCAGTTGTCTTTTCCGGAATGACTAAAAATATTATGTAGAATTTTTGATTATTATCTTAAATTTGATTTCAATATTGGTGGAAATATAGTACAAACCGTTGGGTGCTTGTCCTCCATCAGTAATTATTCCATGAATTCTACAAATATAACAATCAAGATTAAGTATGAAGTCATTATAAAAATGAATACGATAATCGACTTATACCTGTCTGTAGGCGGAATCTGCTGTCTTAACAATCCAATATTATCATACGCCAATACCATTGCATCCAATGCATTAAGTCCTATTAGGTCATTTTTTTGTATTAAAATTGATTAATTATCAACACGTCGCCAAACAGCGTAGAAAAAAACAAAAAACAGAATTTCATAATACCCTTTTCAGGTGATGCTAATGCAATAAATTAAATGTTAATAAAGTCATATATATGACTAGCCAGTGCCCAATGTACTTTGCGCCCCTACTATAAAATCGCTAATCTCTCGAAATTTTGACTAGGTAACCACGTCATATAACATAAGCAAAAATGTTCCTCTCGCAATTTTACCTTACCCTAACCATAATCCTAATCTTACTCGTAACCCAACCCTAATTTCTATTGTAGGCTCAATTTTGCAATAGAGGCACAAAGTGCATTGTGCACTTTTTAGATTTTTCCTATATGGACATATAATACTTAAAAAAGAAATAAATAAAATTTTCACCTGCAGCATGTGAAGCTCTCCCATGATATATAATTTCTGCTTCTTGAACTGCTATACAAGGTAGAAAAGCTCCGTGTGCATTACTAATTTCATCAATCATTGTGTTAGCGATTGAAAATTTGAAAAATATGCAGAAATTAAATGCTAACATAATGTAACCTTGTTGGATGGACCATCATTGAAACATCAACATCATTATATGCGCCGGCATTAACTAATTTGATTTTCCCACCATCACCAGCCTTTTCTTAAAAAAAGTAGATGTAATATGTCACTGATATTGCATTTTTTAAATTTTTTAAAAAAAGAATAAAAATTTCAATACCTTCTGCAGGGGTTCCATATAACCTTACAGTTCCTTCAATATTAGATTTCTCAAGAACTGCCTTGAGACCAATTGCAGCACCTACTCCACTAATTGCGATAAGATTATGTCCGCAAGCATGACCAATTCCTGGCAAAGCATCAAATCTAGTATATATTTATTATATAGCTTTTATAAAAAGAAGTTAATGCTTATTTTACAATAACTAATATTACTTACTCGGAATTAAATGAAACAACGCGACCTCTTCCAGCTTTAGATTGAAATTCGGCTACAAATGCGGTTTCCAACCCAAAAGCACTCCGTGTTACCTTAAACCCTTTTCCTTGCAAATAATCAGTTAATAATTTATGTGCAAATTTTTCTTGGTAACCCAATTCTGGATTCTCGTGTAGCTGTGCATTAAGAATCGTTAACATTAAATTTCAATACGCTTAATTTTGCTTTATCAACATGGAATTTACTTTTATGCTTATTTCATGAAGCTCATTTTTAACGTCGTTAATAGCTTTAAGAGCAGTATCAGCAAGTTCAGATGTCTTTTTAGTTTGTTCCATTACAAGTAAAAATGTTTAGTATCAAAATTTGATCGATTATATATCCAAAAGGCATTGCTTATTGGTGTAACCTGAGCTTCCTGACTAGTGATGGGCCGCTGCGCAGGCGGAATATTTCAGAAATCATCGTCGAAATTTAGCAATTTTGGCCCGCATTAGCCATAATGCAGGCCCGTATGCATGTGCATTCATGCGCATTCATGCAGTGTTGGCCTATGACCTGTTATGACCTACTATAGGTTATGACCTTATGACCTGTTATGACATAATATTTACTATTACATTATGACCATCTTGGTCATATAAAGTTTAATATGACCCAAAATAGCCAACACTGCTTTGGATTGGGTACGTTTCCTCCTGTTGGACTACATATATTATTTTTGAAGGACTCGACTTTTCAAATAACGCCCACGGGCGTTATTCCGCGTTTATTCGGTAAATTATATAGATTGTCATAACGATAATCAGTGTTGGCCTGTGACCTGTTATGACTAGAGATGCAGGAGAGTTAATTCTACAACAGGGCTTAAACGACTATATTGAAATGCCGGACATTCAAAAGTGCCATTCTTGATCTATAGTATATTAGAAATTAATTGGCTGGTATAGTAAACATAAGATGTACAATACACTAATTTTGATAAATCAAAAAAACCACTTTAAACAATAGCAGTGGCGCAGTAAATGTCCGGCAAATTAATATAGTCGTTTAAGCCCTGTTCTACAAGCGATCTACAATTCTACAATGCAGTAGAATTGAGAATTGGTGATCATTAATAGATTTAGTAATTCCACAATTCTACATGCATGATATTGTAGAATTGACGTAATTTCTACAATTCCACAATATAGAATTGACGTAATTTCTACAATTCCACAATATAGAATTGCAGAAATGATGATCATTAATAATTTTAGTAACTCTACAATTCTACACTTGTAGAATTATGGATACAATTCTACATTTGTAGAATTGTAGAATTGTCGCTCATTAAAAGCACATTATGCATAAAAGTTACATTTTTGATATACTATAATTCCTAGCATAAATTTATAATTTGCAATTATTTATTTAAATTATTTATTCAAATTATTTATTCAAATTATTTATTCAACTTATATTATTTATTCAAATTATTTATTTAAATTATTTATTCAAACTATTTATTAAAATTATTTATTCTAATTGTTCATTCAAGAATTTATTTAATAATTGCATTAGCTTCGTTATTTGATGATGACGCATTTTATCTTTGCTAGTTTTAAGTTTTGTCATTTTCATCATTCGGAAAAGGTTTCGCCTAACAGGTATAGTATAGTCGACTTTTCTTTATAAA